TGGAGCAGGGAGGGGTTGACCAGATGGCCCCAGAGCGTGGAGCAGGGAGGGGTTGACCAGATGGCCCAGAGGCTGGAGCAGGGAGGTGTTGACTAGATGGTCCAGAGGCTGGAGCAGGGAGGGGTTGACCAGATGGCCCCAGAGGCTGGAGCAGGGAGTGGTTGACCAGAAGGCCCCAGGTATCAGGGCCTCTGAGGTGGTGGAAGGGCTAGAAAACAAGCTGATGGAGCCATCAATGCCCACGCTTCTTGGATCTGAGGGCCCCCGTGGGCCAGGCCTGATGCTGGGCAATGCTGGGGACACAGAGGGGAGCTAGACCTGGCCATGGGGGGCTAGCCATCCTAGTTTGCTGGGACTTAGCTGTTTCCTAGGATACGGACTTACAGTGCTAAAACGGGGAAAGTCCTGGGCAAACCAGGACAAGTCAGTCCCCTACCTAGCTAATCCTTTGAGGAGTTCCCAGTTTGTAGGGGGAGACATACATGGGTACAAACAGTCATAATCAGGAGTGGGACGTGCCTTAATGGGGGTCACAGAGGTGCAGTCAGCAGCCCTTGCTGCAGAGCAGAACTTCCCCCAGGTCCAGCTTGAGGGCCAGATAGTCAAAGAGGAATGGAACAGGTGTTCCAGGCAGGAGAGGGAGGTGATGTGAGAGCCTGGGTGTTTCAGGAATGCAGGAAGTTTCTGGTAGCATCTCCTTCCCCCCAGACTTGGCTGGAGAGAAGAGGAGAGAATAAAGAAAGTGGCAGGAAAGGATGCCCCAGTGCCAAAGTGAGGGGCTGGGGCTCTGCTGGGGGGCCCTGGGGAGTCACAGGAGGGCTGTGAGCAGAGGAGAGACAGTGTCCACACTGGGTGTAAAAGACCTCTCTGGGTTTGTGTGGTGAGGGCTAGAGGGGAGAGACTGGAGGCTGGGGAGGAGGCTGGGTGAGGCTCCAAGTGGGAAAGGACGAGGCCTGAGCAGGGCTGGGGCCATGGGGTTGGAGAGGAGGGGACAAGGCAGGGAAAGTTGAGGGATAGAGCTAGGGACTGATAGGCTGTACACAAGATCCCCCAATGATAAAATGGTTTCTGCACACAGTAGGCATTTAATAATGGTTGAGTAGGTGAAGGGAGCTTGACTCCCTTGCTAAAAGGACAGGGACATAGAGGGAGCAAGCCCCCACTCACCCACTCACCCTGACTCTCCACCCAGAGCGTTCCAGAAGCGGCAGCAGCAGCAGAGTGCCCTGAGGGTGATGCAGCGGAACTGCGCAGCCTACCTGAAGCTGAGACATTGGCAGTGGTGGCGGCTCTTCACCAAGGTAGGGGCAGCAGGGGGAGCTGGCCCAAGCAGTGAGGGAACAAACAAGGCTTTGGAAGCTAGGCCTGCTTGAACACGTGATTTCCTCCCGTTTCATGTCAGTTTTTTGCATCTGTAAAATGGGGCCAGTCAGCCCAAAATTTGTTAGCCAGAGTTGTTTAGGTAGCAAGTGACAGAAAACCTGAATCAAAGCAACATGGATAAAAGATACAGGACAGCTTTAGGTGCAGCTGGATCTAGGGTTGGTCCCCAAAACCTCCCTTAGGTTCAATGACTTGCTGGAGGGATTCACAGAGCTCAGAAAAGCTGGTTTATTACAGCAAAAGATATATATTAAAATCAACAAAAGTAAGGTGCACAGTGAGAGTCCAGGAGAGAAGAGGCGCGAGCTTCCAGTTGTCCTCTCCCAGTGGAGACAACATGTATGGAGTATTGCCAACCGGGGAAGCTCACCCAAGCCTTGGTGACCAGAGTGTTTATGGGGGATCAGTCATACAGGCATAGTGAACCTGTGTGACTGACCTTAGTATCTCACTCCATAGCCCCCCAGAGGTCAAACTGGTATCATATGGCCCAGGGCCCCCACCATAAATTACATTGTTGGGGTAAACCATCTAGCATGGTCCCCCCAAAAAAAACAGTTGCTGTGAAGTCGATTCTGACTCATGGCAACCACATGTGTGTCAGACTGGAACTGTGCTTCATAGGGTTTTCAATGGCTGGTTTTTTAGAAGTAGATCTCCAGGCATTTCTTCCAGGGTACCTCTAGGTAGACTGGAACCACCAACCTTTTGGTTAGTAGTGGCCCAACACCCAGGTAAACAAAGACATTTTTATCAGTCTGAATATTCCAAGAGCGTAGAGGTTAGCTCCCCAGAGCCAGACAAGGGCCAGTCCTTTCTTTGGAACGTGCAGGGTATGGACAACCCAGGCCTGCTGAGTTAACCCTTTACTGCACAGTGGCCCACACAGTGATGTCAGTGATCAGACTTTATGCACCTTCCATTTGGCTTTCCTCTACAGTGATCACTGGCAGACTCCTGCCAGACAGCGGCCACTTGCAGATAAAGACTCATCTTCCTCCCCCACAACCAGCTTGGCCAGCTTGGTCTTCTCTTAGAACTCTAGCCAGAGCCCCAGGTCTCACTCATTGGTCCAGCTGGAGTCATGTGACCATCTCTGAAGTCAGATGAGCCAGGCCAGAGTCACATGCTCACCCAAAGCAGAGGCAAGGAGTCAGGATGTCAGGACCCCTGTGAGCTGAGGGTAGGAGGAGGTGCTCTCCCAGTGGGAAATTGGAAAGGGGGAAGGGGAGAAGGCGTAGAGGCAAAAACACAACTGTTCAGTATAATTCCCAATATAGTATCTGTCTTAGTTATGTAGTGCTGCTATAACAGAAATACCACAAGTGGGTGGCTTTAACAAGCAGAAATTTATTTCCTCACAGTTTAGGAGGCTAGAAGTCTGAATTCAGGGTGCCAGCTCTAGGGGAAGGCTTTCTCTTTCAGCTCTGGGGGAAGGTCCTTGTCTCTTCAGCGTCTGTTCCTTGGTTCCTTGGTGATCTCCAGTGGCATGGCATCTATCTTCACCCCTCATCTCTGCCTCTCGATTGCTTGTTGAATCTCTTATATGTCAAAGGAGATTGATTTAAGACACACCCTGCACTAATGCGGTCTCATTGACATAACAAAGAGAGCCCATTCCCAAATGGGATTATAACTGCAGGTATAGGGGTTAGGATTTACAACACATATTTTCGGGGGACACAATTCAATCCATAACAGTATCTGATAGGTCAGCTTGCGTTCCCTCAGCCAATGTTTATTGAACACCTAAACCCAAAACCAAACCCGTTGCCATTGAGTCGATTCTGACTCATAGTGACCCTATAGGACAGAGTAGAACTGCCCCATAGGGTTTTCTAGGCTTTAATCTTTATGGGAGCAGATCGCCAGGTCTTTCTCCTGCTGAGCCGCTGGTGGGTTCAAACCGCAGACCTTTCAGTTCGCAGACAAGTGCTTAATCATTGTGCGTTGTGCCACTGGGGATCCTTCCTACAGGAATAACAAAACAAAAAATTCATTGCCGTCGAGTCGATTCCAACTCATAGCGACCCTATAGGACAAGGTAGAACTGCCGCATAGTTTCCAAGGAGCACCTGGTAGATTCAAACTGCCAAACTTTTGGCAGTTAGGATTTACAACACATATTTTGGGGGGACTCAATTCAATCTACAGCATTGTACATGCACGCCTGTACTCCAACCTCAACCCGACAATGTAGAATGGGTCTCTCACTACAGACCTCGATCTAAGAATAGCAGCGGCCACAGTGTCCCTTGCATGTGGAAGATTCATTTGGCAAACGTTTAGTGAGGTCTGAGATTGTCCCCATTTTGCAGATGAGAACGTTATTGTGCTTGCTCAAGTCCATGAAGCTAGCAGTTGGAGGAATTGGGATTCCACCCCAGGCACCCAGGCCCCACCCCAGGTGTGAGTTCTTAGCCCCTGGGCCAGGCAGCCTTCCACCTTGGTTAGTGGAGGTTGGCGGGAGGACCCCAGCCATTCGCAACCGCCTCCTCTCCCACTAGGTGAAGCCGCTGCTGCAGGTGACACGGCAGGACGAGGTGCTGCAGGCGCGGGCCCAGGAGCTGCAGAAAGTGCAGGAGCTGCAGCTGCAGAGCGCCCGCCAGGTGGGCGAGCTCCAGGAGCGCTTGGCGCAGGTGAGGAGTCAGGCCTGGGCCTGGGGGTGGGGCCTGGGGGTGGGGCCTGGGTGCAGCCAGTTGGGGGGAGGGGCTACAGGCTGAGCCGGTATGTGCTGGGGCTTTGGAGGAGGGAGAGAGAGGGTGGGAGTGGATCCAAGGTATACAGGCACTAGGCAAGGGGCGGGCCTGCATCTCCCACCTCCCCACCCCAGAGGCCTCAAGGGGCAGGAGAGACCTGGTGCTCCAGTTGAGGGCCATCATGGGAGCACCGTCCTCTGATTCCTGACCCCTGACCCTCATCCCCAGCTGGAGGAGGAGCGCGCCCGCCTGGCAGAGCAGCTGCGGGCAGAGACAGAGCTGTGCAACGAGGCCGAGGAGATGCGGGGGCGACTGGCAGGCCGCAAGCAGGAGCTGGAGCTGGTGGTGTCTGAGCTGGAGGCCCGCGTGGGAGAGGAGGAGGAGTGCAGCCGTCAGCTGCAGACAGAGAAGAAGAGGCTGCAGCAGCACATCCAGGTCTGCCCCAACCCTGCCCACCAGGCATCCTCCCCCACCCCTTGCTCCTCTGTCTGCCTCACCCACCTTCGCTTCTACACGACCAGGTCCCATTTGGCCATGAATTTGCAGAAAACTTAGCCGGAAGAATAGTCTTTGGGTTCACATAATGGGAAAATCCTGAATGGGCAAGCTTCAGGCATGGTTGGATCAAGGCGTTCAAGTGATGTCCTCAGTGTTCTGCCTCTATCTCCATCTCCCACCTCCATTTGCCTCGGTGCTGCTACATTCACAGGCAGGCTGCCTTCCCCGGGTTCCCCCTAGCAGCTTCTCTAAACTTATGTCCTACCAGGTTGACTCCCCCAGTGGAGAGGGTCTCTGTATCAAGAGTCCCAAACAGAGTCCTGAGGCTGACTCTCTGGCTGGGCTTGGATAATGCATTTATTCATTCACCCTCCAGACAACTCCTTGGTGATGAGATTATTTCCGTTATATGACTTTAACATGTCTACATTAACATGACTTTACTATTCCATGGTCTTCATCAATATAACCCTCCTAATCTTAGAAAATTCTTGCCCAGGAAGATAAAAGTTGCAAACAATTTGTTGTTCATTTCAGGAATTTCTTGAAAACCCACCGGTTAATCATTGAAAAAAAAAAAAGTGACATTAACTGCCATAGATAACTTTAATAATAACAGTTAACTTTTATATTAGCACAACAATAAGATGACTTTAATAATAACAATAACAGATATCTTTAATAATAGTAACATAACTTAATATAGTAAAAATTGTTGCCGTTGAGTCGATTGCAACTCATAGTGGCACAAACCGTTTGCACTTGACTACTAACCTAAAAGTTGGCGGTTCAGACCCACCTGGCAGCACCACGGAAGAAATACCTGGGAGTCTGCTTCCTTAAAGATTACAGTCAAGAAAACCCTATGGAGCAGTTCTGCTGTATAACATGTGGGGTTGCAATGAATAATAATAATAGACAGCTTTAATAATAATAACAGATAACTTTAATAGAATAGTAACACGATTTTGATAATAACACAATTTTGATAATAACACAATTTTGATAATAATAACAATAATAGAAGATAACTTTAATAATAATAGTAGATAACTAATAATAATATAATGATAACAATAGATAACTAATAATAATAACAGATAACTTCTATCTAATGCCTTCTGTGTGTGCCAGGCACTCTCTTAAGCACTGAGTATGTACATACTCATGGAATCCTTCCAACAACTGTGTAGGGTAGATAGTACTGCTATCATCTCCATTTTTCAGAAGAGGAAACTGAGACACAGAGAGGCGAACTGACTTGCCCACAATCACCCAGCTAGTAAGTGGCAGAGCCAGGATTTGAACCTAGGCTCTCCTGGTTCCATATTCTGGGCTCCGAATCTCACAAATGTTCATTGAGCCCCTAGTAGGTGCCAGGCAGTGTTCTAGGCACTGGGGACACAGCAGCCTATAAAACCAGCAAAAGCCCCAGTCCCAGTAGAGCTTATGTTTAGTGGGAAGAGATAGACAGTGAACGATGGGCCTATCTCAGTCCCTCGCCTTGTCTGATTGGCCAGGCCTGCGTCATACCCACACTGGAGGCAGGGCATAGTGTCAGTCACACCAAAGCCACCTCATGGAAGAGGCATTCCCAAAAGGAAAATCATACTGCCAAATGTTTGCCAAACAAACATTTTAAAATGTCTCCTTTCCGTGGAGCCAAGCCCTGTTCTGGGTGAAACCAAGGATACAAGATCAGCTAGAAGGAAGTCTGCTGTCCAGGGTCCCCAGTCTGGTGGGAGACAAATTCACGTTCCTGAGTGGTGTGTGCCTTAATGAAGGAAGCCCAGACACAGTGCAGGATCCCAGAGGTGGAAGGATTTTCTCTGCCTTAGGGGGCTGGACGACTTCCTAAACGAGGTGAACACTGGGGCATTATAGGAAGCATAGGAGGTCGCCAGACAGCAAAGGAAGGGAAAGTCATCCCAGGGAGAAGGAACAGTGTGTGCAAAGATCATGAGGTCTCCTGTTGAGATTTCTCCCAAACCCATGCCTGGGCCTGAGAGAGTATATTTCTCCCACGAATGCAGCCAACACAGACTGAATGTCTAGAGAGGAAAATCGAGTCCTGGGTGGGAATCTCATCTCCTCCCTGAAGCAGTTATAGACAGGTCACGTCATCTCACTGAGCCTCAGTTTCTCTGTAAAGTGCAGACACCCCAGCCTGTAGCCTCACCTCTCCAGCACACAGTCCCTCTGGTTCCCAACCCCTGGGTCCTCACCCCTGCTTCCTCCCCACTCCAGGAGCTGGAGACCCACCTGGAGGCTGAGGAGGGGGCACGGCAGAAGCTGCAGCTGGAGAAGGTGACAACGGAGGCAAAGCTGAAGAAGTTCCAGGAGGACCTGCTGCTCTTGGAAGATCAGAACGCCAGACTGGGCAAGGTTGGTGGGTCGTGGGTGGCCAGGCTGGAGAGTGGATGCATTGGTGGGTATGTGGGTGTATTAAGGTTCTCTGGATTTAGCCTCCAGGCTGTTGGCTTTTTTTCTAACAGCTTTATTGAGATATAGTTCATATACTATATAGTTCATCCATTTAAAGTGTGCAATTCGATGGTTTTTAATATATTCATAGATGTGCACAACCATCAGCATAGTCTATTTTAGAACATTTCCATCACCGCAAAAAGAAATCACGTACCCTTTGGCTATCATCTGTCTGTCCCCCTAGGTTCCTCCACCCCCACCCCTAGAAACAATCACTTTCTGAATTTATAGATTTGCCTGTCTTGGACATTTCATACACGTGGAATCATATAATATGGAGTCTTTCGCAACTGGCTTCTTTCACTCAGCATGTGTTCGAGGTTCATCTGTTTTGTAGCATATATTAGTACTTCATTCCTCCTTATGGCTGAATAATGCTCCCTTGTATGGATACGCCACATTTTGTTTGTCCATTCTGTAGTAGGTGGACATTTATGTTGTTGCAGGCTATGGTTTGCAAACCACTGATTTTTGTTGTTGTTGTTTTGTTGTTGGGACTAGACACAGCACAGCATACACCAGCTATTTCTACATGTACAGTTCAGTGACATTGATTACATCCTTCAAGCTGTACAACTGTTCTCACCCTCCTTTTCTGAATTGTTCCTCCCCAACTGACATAAAGTCACTGCCCCTGAAGTTTTCTCTCTAATCTTTCAAGTTGCTGTTGTCAACTTGATCCCATATAGATAGTTCTTTAAAAGAACACAATGCTCAAGGAGGGTATTCTTTAATAATTAAGCTAAACTATTGTTTGGTTTTAAGAAGACTTCGGAATATTTTGGTTTAGGGTATGAGATTTCAAGATTATCTCAGGGCAATAGTTTTGGGGGCTCATCCAGCCTCTGTGGCTCCAGAAAGTCTGAATTTCATGAGAATTTGAAATTCTGTTCCACATTTTACCCTCTTTTGATCAGGATTCTTCTATAGGATTCTTTGATCAGTTTCTTCTGTTCTTCTAGACATTCAGTAATGTGCAGACCACTGATTTTGAAGCAGTCACAGACCCAACCCAGGTCAAGGAGTGGGGAATTAGTCTTTGGATGGGGATGCAGCAAAGAATTGGCCGCCATCTTTAATCAGCTGTAGCCAGGACTGGACTAGAAAATCGGGTTATGGCATTGAACTAACTAGAAAAGTGTTAGTGGGGGAAAGAGACTCTAAACAAGTCACCACAGGAAATAAACATCATTATATATTATGACTTAACTATAAACTGTATCAGAAAAGAACAGGAAACTATGGGGAAGGATTCCTGACCTGTTCTGGGAGTGGTCAGGAAAGGCTTCTCTGAGGTAGTGGTGCCTGAGTTGCGAGCTCAAGGAAGCACAGAAGTTTTCTAGAACATTCCTTTGGTGCAACAGCCAGGAAGGGAGAGAGCAGGAGAATTGGGGGAACTGAAAGAAGACCATGATGTCTGAGTAGGGAATGCCAAAGAGAGAATGGGATGAGGTGAGGCAGGAGATGTTAGCCTGGTGAAGAGAGGGTGGTAGAGAGTTTTCCCAGGGAAGGTTTCAGCATGTGCAAAGGCCCTGAGGCAGATGGGAATCTAGTAGATCTTAGGAACTTGACTTTGTGTTGCTTTCTTCTGTTTTCTGAGCCCTTTTCTGTGTGCGTGTCTGTGTGGTGGCAACGAGCCTAATGGTAAAGAATTGGTGTCCACCCTATAGAAGGAGCTCCTAGACATCAATAAGCAAAAGCTAAATAGCCAGAAGGAAAATGAGCAAAGAAGATGAGCAGGGAATCCACACAAAGGAGCAAATGGCAGATAAAAGCTCCTGATCCAGCTCCTGGCCCTCACTTTTCTGCCACCTCACAGGAGCGGAAGCTGCTGGAGGAACGTCTGGCTGAGTTCTCATCCCAGGCAGCCGAGGAGGAGGAGAAGGTGAAGAGCCTCAATAAACTGCGGCTCAAATACGAGGCCACGATTGCAGACATGGAAGGTGAGTGCACACCTACCCAGTGGGAACCTGTGGGGATCTGTGCACATTCTGGTGGGGGACCTCGGGCAGGCCCCTGCCTGTTAATTGAGGAGAAGAAGGAAGGCTTGGGATAGATTGCGTGTCCTCCCAGCCTTTATGTGTCTTCTGTCTCTAAATTCAATTCTCTTTCCTTTGGTGTCTTGTGTTTCTCTAGCTCTTTCTTTCTATCTGACTCTTTTCCTGCTAACTCTCTGCTTCAGATACATTTTTGTCTCTCTGTCATTTGCTGTTGATGCAGAATCAGAATAAAACAGAGGGAAAGGGAACAAGGAGGAGGCTGGGGAGGAGGCAGAGCTGACAGAGAGGAGAAGACGGGGCAGAGAGAGTCAGGGAGCAGTTGGCATGGGGGTGACTGGGGAGAGGACAGTACCTGGCAGCTGGCCCAGGGTTTAAGGCGACAGTGGGGCTTTTCCTGAGATGGGGAAGCCAGGAGCGGGGACTGGTTTCGGGGAAAATGCTGAGTTCAGCCTTACCCGTGGCGAGTGCTGGGGTCTTCATGGGAGCTGTTGAGTGTGTGGGTCTGGAGCCCTCACATGTGGCCTCCACTCCTTGCTGCAGACCGCCTACGGAAGGAGGAGAAGGGCCGCCAGGAACTGGAGAAGCTGAAGCGGCGGATGGATGGCGAGAGCTCGGAACTGCAGGAGCAGATGGTGGAGCATAAGCAGCGGGCAGAGGAGCTGCGGGCCCAGCTGGGCCGCAAGGAGGAGGAGCTGCAGGCAGCCCTGGCCAGGTGCAGGGGGGAGTGGGCCTGGCAAGGCAAGCAGTACAGGTACATAGCCCGTGGGGCAGTCAGTACAGGTGCATGGCCTGCAGGGTGAACAGTGCGGGCGCATGGCCTGGCAGGTGCATGGCCTGGTGAGAAGAGCCATATGAGTGCACAGCCTGCTGGGGTGAACAGTATGGGCGCACAACCCGTGGGGCAAGCTGTGCAGGCACATGGCCTGCCGGGGTAAGTAGTGTGGGTGCACGGACTGGCGGCCACACGGCCTGGTGAGGCGAACAGTACGAGTGCACAGCCCGCGGGGGTGAGCAATGTGGGCACACAGCCCATGAGATGAGCAGTGCAGACACACGGCCTGGCGGGTGCACGGCCCAGTGAGGTGAGCAGTGCGGGCCCACAGCCTGCTGCTGTTGGGGATGCAGTCACACCCTCCTCGGCACAAACACTAGCCGAGCTGCTCACCAGCCTGACATGGATAAGCCACGCCTCCCTCTGAACCTCAGTGTCCCCTTCTGTCGAATGCAGATAGCAAGCATTCTGAGCCTACGAGACTGATGGAAAAGTGCAGCAAGGTCCTGCGTGTGCAGCAGTTTGCACAATGCCCAGCACATAAGAGGGGCAAGAAAGTACTCCTTCTCCTTTTCCCCGTGCTCAGCCTCCCCACTATAAACAGCCCAGTAGCAGCTTTGAATTGACAAGTGGCCTGACTCTGTTAGGAATAATTATGACAGGAATTCACCATTACTGGGCACCTGCTGTGTGCCAGAGGAGACTGGGTGGTGCAAATGGTTAATGAACTCAACTGCTAACCAAAAGGTTGGAGGTTCGAGTCCACCCAGAGGTGCCTGAGAAGAAAGGCCTAACGAGCTACTTCTGAAAAATCAGCCACTGAAAACCTTACGGAGCACAGCTCTGCTCTGACACACGTGGGGTCACCATTAGTTGGAGTCAACTCAATGGCAACAGTACGCTAGGTATGGTGCACAGTATTTCACATGCTTTTTATGTGCTGTGCTTCAACCCATCTAAGATGACACTGATTATAAATCAGTTTTAGAGAAGTTAAAATAGGGAAAGATACGCATCTTGGAAATCATGGAACGTGTGTATTCATGCACATGCACTTAAGAACACACACCCTTGAGTCTGACTTTGGGGTTCGAATCCTGTCTTCTCCCCTTCCTGGCTGTGTGACCTTACTCAATTGACATAACTTTTCTAGCCTCAGTTTCCTCATCTATAAAATGGGAGTGATTACAGAAGTTGCTTCTTGGGTTAGTGTGGGGATTAAATAAGCGCTGGTAAAATGCTTGGCGCACCCTAAACCCACAATAAATGCTGAGAGTTTTTATTACTACTTTACATTATTGTTCTTGTTGTTGGTTTATTTTTTCTTTTTATTAAATTAAGGTAAAATTTCTATCACATAAAATTAACTGTTTTAAAGTGAACGGTTCAGTGGCATTCACAATGTAGTGCTACCGTCACCACTGTTTAGTTCTAAAACATTTTCATCACCCCAAAATAAAACCCCGTACCCATTAGCAGTCAATCCCCATTCCCCCTACCCCTTTCATTACTGTCGAGTCTGTTTCAACTCATGGTGACCGCATGTGTTACAGAGTAGAACTGTGCTCCATAGGGTTTTCTTGGCTGTAATCTTTACAGAAGCAGATCACCAGGCCTTTCTTCCAAGGTGCCACCAGGTGGGTTCAAACTGCCAGCCTTTAGGTTAGCAGCTGAGCACAAATCTTTTGCACCACCCAGGGACCTCCCCATCCTCTAGGCAACCACTAATCTACTTTCTGTCTCTATGGATTTATCTATGCTGGGCATTTCATATAAATGGGATCATAAAATACGTGACCTTTTGTGCCCTTGGTATTGTTTTTATTACATTCCTCACAGCAAACTCTGTGAAGTGAGGTGTTCGTTTCCTCTTCACAGACCAGGAACCTGACATTGAGAGAGGCTAAGTCACTTGCCAGGGTCACGCAATAAGCAGCAGAGCAGGGGATTCAAACCTAGGTCTGCGTAGCTCATGGGGCGATTTAACCTCCGATCACTACCGCCCCTTGTTTGAGCTTCTCTTTGCAGTGACCCTGCACAGAAGGACGAGAGGCTGGGTCCCGTAAGGATCACCAGCAGGGACTCTGGGGTCAACTCTGCCACTCCTTACTCATGCGACCTGGGCAAGTGATTTCCCTCTCTGCGCCTCAGTTGGAGCCCTGATGGCACAGTGGTTAAGCTCTCAGCTGCTAACCAAAAGGTTTGCAGTTCAAACCCACCAGCGGCTCTGCAGGAGAAAGATGTGGCAGTCTGCTTCCATAAAGATTTACAGCCTTAGAAACCCTATGGGACAGTTCTCCTCTGTCCCATAGGGTTGCTATGAGTCAGAATTGACTCAACAACAGGTTTGGTTTTTTTGGTTTGGTGCCTCAGTTTCCTCATTTGGTGTGAGGATTAAATGAGCCAATAGAGCGAAAGGGCTTACATGTGGCAGGAGCTCAAAAAGTGTCAGCTGGGGTTATTGTTGGTGTCATTCCCATTTTACAGCTGAGAAAACTGAGGCTGTGTGTACTAGTGTCACTTGCCCAAGAGCAGAGCCTGGATTTGAACCCTGAACTGACCACCCCCAGAGCCCCCGGGGAGTCATCCCTCACCCTTGCCTGCTCCTGTACCAACTTCATGTTCTTGTCAACTCGCAGGGTGATGGAGGAAGGCGGAGCCAGAGCCCAGCAGCTCAAATCCCTGCGGGAGGCTCAGGCAGGGCTGGCCGAGGCCCAGGAGGACCTGGAGGCAGAGCGTGCGGCCAGGGCCAAGGCAGAGAAGCAGCGCCGGGACCTGGGCGAGGAATTGGAGGCCCTGCGGAGCGAACTGGAGGACACACTGGACTCTACCAATGCGCAGCTGGAGCTGCGGTGAGGCCGGCCGCCTGGGCAGGAGCAGGGCGGGGGTGGGAGAGGGGCATGGGTGCGAGGGTCCCCATTTACACCACGGTGGAGTCATCGGACAAGTGCGTTACTTCTGTTTGTTGTTGTTGTTGTTGCTGTATGAACACACGCAGCAGAACATAAACCAGTTCAGTGATTTCTGCGTGTTCTGTTCAGTGACATGGCTTACATTCTTCGAGTTGTGCAACCATTCTCACCCTCCTTTTCCGAGTTGTTCCTCTCCTATTCACATAAATTCACTGCCCCCTAAGCTCCCTATCTAATCTTTCAAG